TCCCCCCAGCACCCATAGGACCCCCAGCTCCCCCCATAACCCATAGGACTCTCCCCAGCACCCACAGGACCCCCAGGTCTCCCCCTAGTTGTGTGTGTGTGTGTGTGTGCCCCACAGGTGGATGGTGTTGGACACGGAGACGCAGCAGCCGCTGGCGGGGGGGTCTGATGGGAACGAGCAGCTCTCAGTGGTGCGTTTCTCCCCAGGTGAGTCACACGCGTGTGCAAGAGCACGTGTGGGGTTTGTAAGGCCAGAGGTGTCATAGGAACACGTGTTGGAAGACACGTGTGTGTAAGGATGGTTGTCAGAGAACAGGCGTGTGTGAGGAGACATGCGAGTACAAAGACATACATGTGCAAGGCCATATATGTGCAAGGCCACGTGTAAGGCCACACACACATACAAGAATATGTGTGCAAGGTGTGCAAGGACAAGAGTTTGCAAAGCCAGGGGTGTCAGAGGAACACGTGTGCGTTGAAAATGACCATGAGAGAACAGACGTGGGATGGCACTCGTGCAAAGCCATGCGTGTGCAAGGCCATACATGTGCAAGGCCATGCGTGTGCAAGGCCATGCGTGTGCAAGGCCCCCCGTGTCCCAGCAGATGGTGCCTTTTTGGCCATCGGATCCCACGACAACGTCATCTACATCTACAGCGTCACCGAGGAGGGCCGCAAATACAACCGCTTTGGGCGCTGCACTGTGAGCATGGGGGGGGGGCAGGAGGTCTGGGGGGGGTCTGAGGGTGTCCCCCCCCTCCCGGTTTTGTTCCCATTACGCCCCTCTGTCTCCCCCAGGGTCACTCGAGCTTCATCACCCACCTGGACTGGTCCAAGGACGGCCACTTCATCATGTCCAACTCCGGGGACTACGAGATCCTCTACTGTGAGTGCAAAGCCGGGGTTTGGGGGGAAGGGGGCACACACTCAATTATAGCATGGGGGGGTCTTCACTGTGTGTGCCCCCCTCCCCCTTTCAAACCCAGGGGACGTCGCTGGGGGCTGCAAACTCCTCCGTAATCGCTTTGAGAGCCGCGACCGCGAGTGGGCGTCATACACGTGTGTGCTGGGCTTCCACGTCTTCGGTGCGCCCTGCGG